GCCAGCCATGGTTGATGTCAATCCACATAAAGTGTTGATGCGAAAACTAATTAATATCTCCGACTTGACCATATGTTTGGACAAACGTAATTCTGCTGGCCAAATTGATGTTTGCCAGGAACCGGTCTTGTATAGGTGAGTATTTGAAGTACCTGTTTTGGAATACATTAATAATGCGTATTTAACTTTATTAAGATGCACTTTAGAGATACGATTTCTGCGCAAATATAACAGTAGCTCCCTAGCTACCAGCAGTATAACACGTATAGGAATTTTACACAGGCCCTTGGATTAAATTGTCCTCATTGCAAATTCCAATGCTGATGCGCCTTATCAAATTCCTTACGTCATTGTCAGGAGACAGCAGTACGGACGATGATTTGTGTTGCTCGAATAAGGAACGTGTTGCCGACAGGGCAACGGACGCATCAGGATCATCATATTATCATGGCATGGAACTTATTACCCAGTTTTACGTTCGAAGAACCCGATGAAGTTGACAGTGGCAGTGATGATGTCCCCGGGACCATACAAAAGACGTGGCTTTATATTGAGAGTTGAATTTTACATTAAAAAATTCCGAATTCATTAATGATGCATAATGGGAGGCATAAAGCGTATCCGTTATACACCAATTGTACGTTTTACTTTTGGTGGTTTGTATTTTGAACGAGTGGCTGTGAAAGAAATCGATTGGTGCAGCACCAAAGCCGGGTTATCTTCGATATATGTTGAACCTTTGGGTCAGTACCGTACCGAAGATACACCGGAATCCTTGGCATTGTTGGAAACGTCACCAGTAAGTAAAAAAAATTATATTTATCATTAATGTTAATGTTTATGTTGTTACAATTTTCAGTATACCAATATGCGTTCCTTCATAGACAAATCACTGTTCGATGAACAGTGTATGATTGCAGATCGTGGCTGGGGTGTCACAAATTATGATGACTATGTTACACGCATCACAGATGACTATCTGATCTTTCGTAGCCCTGTATTTGCTTTAGATATTATAACATATCGCTCGCCAACAGGATATTGTGAATCTAAAGATGCCAATATTACCACAAATATTAGCGGAAAGAAAATCCCTGATATACACAAGCAATGTCGTCTCTTATCCTCGGGCATTACATTTCGTTTGAATGAAACATTTATGCAGGTTAAAAATATAATACAACATTTCATAGATTTATATGATTCATCAATTGCATATTCATCAAATGCAGAGAAAATCGAAATACATGATACAAGTACAACAGCCAAATCAAAGGCTATAGCAACATACCATCAAGATTTGGCTACGGCAGGAAATGAACCTTCAGAAACGCATATTGGTGGTGGTGGGCGAAGTCAGAGTGTCACAGATGGTTCACCAAAACTACATCCTCCCTTGGTAGAGGACTATGATGCCCTCATGCAGGGTGTGCCTTTGTGTAGATATAAAATAGACTTGAAATATATGCAAGTGGAAATATTTGCCAAAACAGAAGCACCCCTGCAAAGCAATCGACCACACAGGCGTTTACCGTCAGCTATTAAAAATTCCCTGCCTTTTCTTTTGGTAAATTTTGATTTAATTGAAGTTAATCTAACCACGCCTATAAATCCAGACAAATTAGTGCATACAACATGTCAACTACCAGATAAACCCCAGGAACTACTCAACGCCTGTTATGATAATTATGAACTGAATGTTATGGACTTAACACTGAGTCTAATGGCGCCTTCCAAGGACACATCCATACGTCTAATAACTATACCTAAACTAAATATGAGCTATGGCAAATTATTGCAACCGCACCATTGGAAAACCGATGAAGTTTCCATTAAAAAATTAGATTTACAATGTGATCATATTAAAATGGAATTTTCGAAAAGAGAGTTATTTGCTTTACTGTATTTGTATGACAGCCTGTGGAGATATCGTCCAGAGTTATTGATCAAAATATCGACAATTTTGAATCATCCCTACGAAATGGCAGATTCCACAGCATTGAGTTGTTTATTTAGCAAACTACAAGTTAAACGACGTTTCTATCACACCTTTGACATATGGAATGCTCATTTACAAGCCGTCAATTCTGATGTATTATTGGAAAGAAAATCTGTTCAGTTGCAACGTTATAACATATTCAATACGACAGCTAAGATTCACAACAACCAAAGTAAATGGCTGGAAATCCACATACAATACCCCGGACTCTCTGGAGAAACGAAAGCTGGAAAAAGAGAAACGAAAGAAGCTGATAAAATGGCAATTGGCATATGGATGGAAAAGTTCTATTTGAATTGCAATAAACAGTTATTGGATTTTCTTTCATTACTTTGCAAAGAAGATGAACGCTTCAGTAGAGGTAAATCGATTAAAATGTCTGATTGCTAATAAAATTACCCATATTGTTTTTTTATTTTTTTAGAGTTCTCTGTCGAAACTGAATTACAGAGCCAAACAGTTCAAAATCCTCCCGTTCCTAGCAGTCAACACACCAGTTCAGCCCATTCAACAGCATATCAAACAAATCCTTCTATGCCACAGGTATTGGTAGAAAATCATCACGCAATTCAAATTCTCTGCGAAAAATATCCCATCCGGAAGAGACAATACACTGTAGCTCGGAAAAGGATGAACGAATCGAATACACAACAACGGATCCTCTTTTAACCGAAGAAATCAAAGCCGACAGCATACCTAAGGAAAACAAAGAGACAGATGAAGAAAAAATTAAAAATTATTTCAAACAATTTAATACGATTATAATTTACATGGAAATAGCACAAAGTCAAATGGACATAACAAATCACAAACACTTGTCTAAGGATAAAGTCGTGGACTATACACGTTTTACTTTACCCCGTATAGTTTTGAAATCCTCATTCGCCGAGTATATTACACGTTCTAGTTTGCGTTTAAAGGTGAATCCGCCGCTGAACACAAAGACCACCTTTAATTGGACAATACAATTTCTAGATTTGTCTATAGAGACCAGTATAAACGATCAGCTTTTTGCTGTATTGCAGCCATGGCAAACAACGGTTACCGTGGCCATGAACAAACGCAAACAAAATCCAACAATACCCACAAATCTTTCACAATATACTTCACCGACTTTTAAATCGAATCAGCAACAGCAGTCATCGCCACGCAGTAACAAGCCAAAATCAAAAAATCCCATCTCGGATCATGCCTCAAAATCTCACGAAAATTCTTCGGTTTCATCCGGCTCATTAAAGGAAATATTTTCGGGCAGTGAACATTGTAAAGACTCATCATCGGCCACACCATCATTGCCAAAAGTTGGCACAAAGCCAGCTGGAAATGCCGAAGGTTTCCCGAGTGGAGATAAAGTGGTGGAATTAATATGTTTAAATTTACATTTGGATTCCTCCACCGTATATATGTATGCCAATAATATAAATACCTTGCAGAATCATTTTCAACATTTTATAAATGTTTTGGATTTGGCATCTGTAATATTTGTTGCCAAGCGGGATACAGCAAGTGCGAGGAGCAATAAGCAACCAGTTAAAATTCTTACCCTAACTGAAGATCATCATCATATTAAAGAGTTTATGGATCTCGATTCGAACTCGGATATTTCTTCAAAGCCAGCAAATGAGTGTAAGTAGTTGTCAAAGCTGAACTATAGGGGCTATTTCTTGGTAGATTTGGAAAAGTATGCAATACTTTTTGCATGCAAGTCATAAAACTTAAACGTCAAAAGGCCATTGGACACAATCTCTATAGTGTTGCATAGAGCAACAAAAGAAGAAGACGCTAGCTTTTGTTCCCAAGTCTTGCGTTCTGCATTTTTTCCGTAAAATACATTTTAAAGAGATCTTAATTGATAAACCTCAATTTTCTTTTTCTTTTCTATTTTAGATAAATCACTGCTGAACAAACTCTCCCTTTTCTGCCAATGGACGGTGACAAAAATCATAGTTGAAGTGGTCAATTCTTTCGAGCAGCCTCAACGTAGTAAAATCGTTTTGGAACTTGAAGATTTCCTTTGCACTGTCGATCAGGGACAAGATTTTACAAAATATACTAATAAAATAGGAAATTTCAATCTAAATTATTATAATCAAAAGTCGCCGAATGAATGGTTGGCACAGGAGCGTATTCGAGTCCGTATGATTGCCGAAACCACCGATCTTCCGTTTTTAAATATTGTCATTACGAAGGTGTGCTTAAGAGATTTCTACAAACGTATTGGTGTTAAACGTAAAGGAGAAATGGATCGTTTTATAAGTGAAATAGTTGTCATAATGCAGGCGATGGAAATCATTGTGGACTTTGATTGTTTACAAGAGTTTTTGGAGCCTTTGTGTGCATTGATATGGGAAAATGCGAGTGATGAAGAGCGAAACTGTCAGCAAGACAAAAAGCACAATAACCCGACCATTGTAAAAGCTGCCGACTTGCCCCTAGTCCACTTTGATAGCAAAGGCATAACATGTTATTTTCCCTTAGCGAATCTAATGCAACAGCAATGCTCAGTATTAATATGTAAAATTGATAGTATTAATGTTACGCCCAATTTGCAAAATCCCCTGCAGCGTAAACCACAGAGGCCAGATGTTTATGGTAAAGCGGCCTCAATGGGTATTTTAAGTATACCGGGATCAATGGTGGAAGATCGTCAATATGAATTGACTCTGAGAAAGTTTTCGGCAGCCTCTGGCAATTGGCATGAAATTTTAACACATATGCGTAATAAGGATCATAACTTTCACACAAATCCAGCTGTGGAGTGGAACAATCCCGAACGTAAACAATCATTGCGTTTGGCTGAAATATTTAAAAATTTTACACTCATTGTTATTTATGCCCCAAATATTGTTTACAACAATATACTTATATGCGGAGAGGCTTTAGAGTTTAATTGTTCATCGGATATGGTTACCAATATTAGTACAGATCAGTTGCAAATGTTTGCGAGTCATTGGCGAAAATACCAACAAATATCCGAGTAAGTATTCCTATTTTGCTCCATAAAATATAAAATGAGCAAAATAATAGAATATTTACATTTCAGGTCGATACGTAATATATGCAATAGAAAATTGAATTCCTCTGCAAGACGTTTAACGCCACATTGTAAAATACAAATGGAATCTACGGCAAACATAGATCATTTAAATATGCGCATAATGAAGACAGAGAAGCAGAAAAATGTTGTAAATACATCAGAAATTCGACGTTTTAGCCGCTTGGGATCAGCATCACAATTCGAATCGATTGATGAAGACGGTGAACCTCAAATAAAAACAGATTCTGGTGTACAGTCGTTAAATTCCAAACCATCTGTGACTCACTCATTAACAACAAAAGAAGTATTAAAGACTCAAAACAATACCCACATTCCATTGGATAAATTTCCACCAATCTATCCACCCATAAAAACCCATACTGTTATTGGCAACAAAAGAAATCTTCCCAAATCTATATCATTGTTGGCCGGGGTATTTACATTCAAAATATACGACTCATCTCGTACACAGGAAGGACATGAGCTATCACTGGAAAATAATGAACCATTGGGCAAGCCTTTAATGTCCATGACAATTTCACAACCAAGTTTTATGGTTGCCCAAAATATTTATGATTCTGTGGTAAATTTTTCGGTATTCAATTTAAAGTTATTTTTGCCACAGATTCATAACTGCAACTGGTCTTCGGGCAATTTTGCAAGCCCATCACCCCCCGTAGAACAGTTTTGTGAAGCCATAATTGATACAAAACCTGGGGAATTAAGTTCAACCGGAATACCACCGGCATTGTTGACATACAAAGCCAGTCAAACCAAATTGAAAATGCTGGAAATCGATATTGATTTATCGAAACCGCTGGTCATAACCTTAAGTCAATCTTACATAGAGGAAATGTGTAAAAATCTTATGATAATCTACAATTGTATACACACGAACACAGCTACAACTTTGTGTAATTTCCAACAAGGACCCGTACATCGTCTATCCAAAATTATGCTTATGAAAACCAATACTTTAAACGCCGATCGTTTAAATATTAAGTGTAATAATATTGGACTCAAGCTAACCAATCACACCGATTACGAAACTAATTTAAATCTCAACGAACTAAAAGTTAATTTAAAGTATTTAACACGACCCGAAAAGTGTTCTGTAAAATATTCATTGGCCGCTGTATATTTACGCACAAATCGTAAAATTTTCCTACATCCCATGTCGTTGAGGGGTTCCATTGATTTTGTTAGCGAACCCTGGAATCGTTTACCCTTGATCAATGTTATTTGTAAATTTAATGTTATACAAATCGATTTGGGAGTTTCAATTCTAAAACAAATGCAACAAGCCTTAA